TCCAAATCTCTCTGCCCCAAGCAAGACCAAGCCCCATACAGATGCAGATTAAAACCATCAGAAAGTTGAAGCCAGAGCAATCAAGAAGACAAAGAGAAAATCTGCATGCCCCACCCAAACTCTAGGAGTCATTAGCCCCATCACCTGGGAAGCAGGATATGATAATAGGATTAAACCACAGATATCAAGGCCTAGAAAAACACTCAGAAATAGCCTCAAAGTTCATGCCACAGGAACAGGAAACTAGAGGGGGTATAAAAAGCCTTCTACCCATGTGCTCACTCTCTTTCTTCTCCTCTGCTCCTTCTTGCAAGGACCATCTTCTGCAATAAACTGTAACCTTCCCAAAGCAGTCGCCATGTTTGCTTATTTATTCCCGGCTTGGATGAACCAGGATGAAGACTTACTTCTAACAGAGTACAGATAATAAATAACAGGGGTCCTCTTTCTCCTTTAAGAATGTCCATGTAATAATAATATTACATCACAGTACAGTAATGTGCAGAGTACAGTATCGGGGCTACAGTGTTAGAACAACAGAAGAAAAAAATCTAGGTGTGCTCATAGGAGATGATTGCAAATGAGTATAAACAATGTGGCCAGGCAACTGAAGGCAAACAAAAGTCTGGGATGCATCACTAGAGGGATGACCAGCAGGAAAAAGGAGGTCCTAATCCCACTATATAAGGCTTTACTCAGACCCCATTTGGAATACTGTGTCCAGTTCTGGAGATCTCACTTTAAAAAAAATATTGATAAGATTGAGCGAGTCCACACATGGGCAACAAAAATGGTGCAAGGTCTGAGGGACAACATAACAGGAAGGATTGAAGGAACTGAATATGTGCAATCTGGAGGACAGAAGGTAAGGGGAGGGCATGATTAAAATCTTTAAATATATTAAGGTGTGAATAAGGTCCTAGAAGGCATATTTTCAATATTAAGCAAAAATCAGGAGCACAGGGAATAACTTCAAACTGACAGGAAGGTTAAAAGTAATGTTTGAAAGTATTATCTCACAAAAAGAGTCATGGAAGCTTGAAACCAACTTCCAGCAGAGGTAGTGGGTCAATCTTCAGAAACTGAGTTTAAAAATGCTTGGGACAAACACGTGTCTTTCATCCAACAAAAAATTAAAATTAAATAAAAATAAATAATAAATTGAAAACAAAAAAAAAACCTCAATGGATAAGCTCAATGGATCACTGGCTGTTTTTCTATTGTCAATTTTCTATGTTTCTATGTGCATTCTTCCTTCATCCTGGTGTTGCCTCTATATCCTCAGTACCACTAAATGTAGGTCAGGGATATCCAACTTTTGCAACTTTTAAGACTTGTGGATTTCAACTCCTAGTACACAGATCGTATAGATGCCCAGTATGGACACTCCTCCAGTAGGCCGAAGGAAAGAACAACACTGCCAAATTTGGAGAAAAAGGAGAAATTCTCTTCCTTCTCTTCTTCCAAGTACTATTTCTCTATTTCTGTAATGTCCTTCTCTATTGAAAGCTCCTCTGCCTTCCTCAATGAAATAGGACTAAAGATGCCTCCAGCTGGCACTGAGATAAGAGGAATTTCCACAGTATTTATTTCAGGTCTCTGTTAAAGGGAACAGAAGAAGCAATGACAGATTACCTTGCAAGACACAGTTACAAATATCATTGTGCTATATATTTGAATGTAATCATTTAGAGTAAGTAGAAGCCATATAGAACAGTTTTTGAGACGTTTTGCTCTCAGAACCTCTTCCCATTTTTAAAAATTATGGAGGACTCCAAAAAAAGCTTTTGCTTAAATGGGTCATACATATTTATCACTATTTACTATATTAAAAATTAAAACTGGACAAATTTATACAATATTTATTAAATCATGTAAAAATAATATTAATGCATTGGATAGTAACATAAATATTTTTAGCAAAATATTTTTAACAAAAATAAGTAAAACATGACAAAAATAAGTAAAACATGACATTACATTTTTTCCAAATATTTTTAATATCTGGCAAATTTTGAGTTCATGGACTCAGAGAGTGTTAGGAGAATTCCCCAGGGTCCTCAGACCACACTTTAAGAAACTCTGATACAGAAGAATAAGTAATAGTAGATTAGTAGTATGTTTTTGATGCTTCTGCAACTAGTTTTAAAAACCTCTGAATTATTATTACATCAATTTAATAAATTATGTTCATCTTACTACTCAGTCATCCCCAAATTCTCCAAATATGGAAATGAAGTTGTATTTTATATTCTGCAAAAACCTCAAAAGTAATAGAAAACCTATTAAATAGCCATCCAGTTTTGTCTGCAACAAAATTGGTCTGCTTAAAGTCAAATTAAGGCCTGTTTAATTTTCAATATGCACTAAGTCTAAAATATTAACCAGGTTACAGAATAATAGGAGCTGAATTCTGAAATTACCAAAGCTAGATTATATGAAATCATGGTGGTGTGCTTGGTGGTGGTGTGCTTGATTGTTCTAAATTATATCTTTTCACTTAGAAAAGAATTTTGTAATGGGACAAAAAAGTTGTTTCTATTACTCAGAAAATGGGAAAGTTTCTAGAATTTTTGTCAGGGACTTTATGAAGGCCATCTATGCCTACAAGAGAATCTACATGGAAGGGGGAAAATGGCCTATCCTGACTTTGGGAAGTATTTCAATAGCAGGAGAATTTTCTAAGCTGACTGAATTATCCACTTAGCAGAAAAAAAAACCCCATGTATTTTTACTCTCATCTGGTATACAGATGTATATTACCTTTCAATTATAAAATTCCTTTTATTATGATTAAATGTTCTACAGTGCTTATCAGTGCATTGAGCACTATCTAATGAACTCATATATTAAGGACAACCAGATAAAACTTATCATTGTTCCTTCACTTAATATTTTTTAGTGGAATCTGCTCATAATGGTTTTTCTCAAGCAGTAACTCCTTAAGTAGCAAAAAATATGCAGGCATATATATATATACCCCACGTTTTGAGTCATTATTTTATACATTGTAGAAAAATTGTAAGGAGACTTAGTGATTATCTAATTAAATACCATCTACAAAATAAGAAAAATACATTTGTTTTCAGAGAATGTACCAACTGTATACCAAGTTGCAACTGATGGATGCTGCTCTTTTATATGTTTTTTCTTTTGCTTAAGGTAGTATTTTGGCTAGATCAACAAAATAATTTCAACCAGAACAGGAAAATAACAGAAATCCATATACAAATGGATTTGAAAAACGTTTTCTCATTATGTAACATCAATGTAGCTTTCTTGTATATATAACAAGTATAACAGTACTATAAAAATGGATTTTGCTGGTGAAGAAATGCTCCATCTTCTGAAGTCATAACTGATAGAAATGTATTTATATTGAAGATTCAAAGAGGTCATAACTGTTTATCTTATTTTCATCATATAATGCTATTTTTTTCATTAGCTGCTTCTTTTTATCATTGATGTTT